ACCGACTTCAAATATTCTTTGCGACTAGATTGTCGAAAGTCGGGCAGCATACAGACCCTACGATCTCATTTCCCGACCAAATGATCGTATTGAATAGTGACTTTCTGAGGAGGACTGCAAAGAGCGGATTCTCTGTCGGCGTGCTCGCGATGACGAGGAACAAGCCTTTGTATCGGATGTTTCGCTCAAAATCTTCAAGATGATTCGTTATCATGTATAGCTCGTACGTCATCAGGCAGATGACTTTCAGAGGCGAGGCCAGCACGTCGAGGAACTGCGCGTGTGTTTCTCGAAGGTACCCGCGACTCCCATACTTGAGGCCAAACGTCAGCAAACTAGACCTCATATTGACGCTTCCTCGAACGAGAATCGCTGAAACATCCGCAAGCAGCAGGGAAGTTGGTTGGACGCCCATCTGCAGAGCTGTTCTCTCCAGGGTGGTCACAAGTTTCATGGGATCGAGTTCTTCTCGCTCGTCCGAGATCTCTGACGAGGAGTGCACGGAAAGTATAAGACAAAGCTTGAGGTAGAGAAGTACCATTCCCGACACACAGTCGAAAGGATGTGAGATCATCGGAGCTCGCACTTATCGGCTCTTCGACGGCCGCTTCAATGGCATTCCTTAATATGGAATCGGAATTCTCAGCACTATGATGGAACTCTACTCTCCGGCTGACGGATTTGTCGATAGATGTCCAAGTTGACTCTCGAGACGATCCACGAGGATCAGAAGTGCTAATGATGCCTTCAGGGGACGGAGCACGCGCTGGAGCTGGACTCCGCGATCATTCAGTCTGTCGTAGCTTTATCTCAGAGCGGACTGACCCCTGAGCGACAGTCGAAAAGGATCATTGACAGAGCCCACCGATCCGTTGTGAGGCAAGCGGCTCCCCTGGAAAGGAAGATCGTTGACTAGATACTTGAATTTATTGAATGAGCCACCGCCAGAAGCGAATCGAGAGTATAGGCCTCGAACGGACCGCAAAGCAGAGCTCGCGTAACGAGCATCGTCCGAATGTGCGGCCCGAGGATAGAATCCTCCGAAAGAGGGCTTCGAGGGTGCGATAGGGAGAGGTTTCAGATTTTGTCTGGGAAACGATCTGGAAATATACTCGGGCTACTTTCCGGAGTCCGTCCCTCGATCGATGAGGTTTCACGCAGGCTTCTCTCAGTACTCGGAGCAGAGACCGACAATCAGTACCGGGCTGGGATATAGCTAGCACAAGATAAGAGATTTCTCCTGATTCTTTACTGACGCTCATTCACATCAAGAGGACATCGCTGGCAAATTGTTAGCGCAGCGACGTCTCTTTCATGCTGTCCTCAATGAGAAGTGCCGAAGTAGAAGGGCACGACGTTAACCTACCGAATAGATTCCGAGCTGTCTCAGATCCGTTAACAGATTACATCCCAAGAAATATCGCAAATCCATGCGGGAGAGGCATCGCTTCGTACAGGAGCGATCTCTACTGAACTTGGATTTAAAGTCCCAGCGATTCTCGTCGCTGCAGAGGCACCGCCAACTTCCGACCCGACTTGGTCCCCCTGCGTAGCCTGAGCTACCGAGGTTTCGGTGATAGGATCAAGATCTCGGGCGGATGACGACTGTCGGCGGCTAAGTGGGTGTGGGCTAGAGCAGCGGTGGCCAAGTGGGGGTGCATTGGCCCCCGGGGGTCCACGGCGAGATATCGGGTGAGACGCGATCAGAGTGAGCCTTCACGGTGGAAAGAAGGATTGTTGGTCACATACACATTCGGTCAGTGACTCCACCCAGCACGTTCCAAAGCGAGATCTCGAAAGCACAGCATGTTCATACACACGGGGTCTCGAGAGCCGATAAGGCTCGGCTGCTGATTGTACTCGTGGTTACCATCCACTTGACCGTATCCTGTTGACCGAAAGCGCTTAACCGATTTTAGATTAAATTAAATTAAAAATTTCAAATCGAAATTTCCTATTCAAATTTTCAGATGGGAGAGGAAAATCCTCAATCACTGTCCAGCATCATCCAATCGCTTCCCTCCCAGTCACTCCATCATGAAGCGATTCGAGCCCATCATAACAGACTCCTGATGCTATGCTTCTAATAGACTCCTGTCTCCTGCAGCGAAGATGCTCTCGCGACGCTGGTAGGTAGGTCCATGCTTGTCCCAAGTGCTTTCAAACATAGCACGAATAGATGATCTGCCCGAATAAACTTACGAGGAACTCATGTTCGGAAGCGAATGCGCATCCCGTTCTTGTTCCCGAACGCGTCGCTCCTCAATTTCGGTTCCCAGAAATTCAAATCTCGGTAGAGCTGGATTCGGTCAAACGGCTTCGGTCTAGTGGTTTCGGTCAAGTGGTTTCGGTCGAGTGGTTTCGGTCAAGTGGTTTCGGTCAAGTGGTTTCGGTCAAGTGGTTTCGGTCACGTGGTGTCGGTTAAACGGTTTCGGTAAAAATTTTCGGTCAACAGGGTAGTCACCGTACTCGTATCCCTACAGCTCGGTATCTGTTCGCGAATACATTGAATTTCTGCGCTTCTGGAGGAGCTCCGACTGCCTCGATCTCAAAATGCGCTGGGATTCTTATGATTGGCTCTCTCTCGCTTCTCACTTCATTTGGAGAACTTCACACGTGAAGCGAATGGATGGGAGCAATATGGGAAATAGGGGGTCCACCAGCTCCTACGAAGGCGGTTTGGGAATCCGCTTTCCCGAGTGCGGCCACCGCTGGGCTAGAGTGCCCCGGCCGCCTGCGTCACAAGATTCTCTGTTCTGGTCGAGTGGAATCACGTAAGTAAACTCGGGGCTTTCATACCATCTCAAGTATTCCACTCGGGGGTGCCCAGTCTGCCGTAATTGCACATCATGACCGAGTCGTCGGTCCGGAACTTCCGCTCCCCGACGAAGGGCTCGGCCCCGCAGTCGCTTCTGAAGTAATTTGATATGGTCTCGGCTTTCTGATTCCGAGAATTTCTCACTGATCCGATCGTTGTGGTCCTCGGCTCGCGCTGATGGGTTTCGATATCGCTGCTCTGATCAAGCTACGGATCTCGCCTCGAATGCTCCGTGTGCGCTGTTCATGCACTACCGAGGGGAACGGCGGCAGCTCTCAGCTACCGAGCTTCCGGGCCCGAATCCGCCATCGAGGGAGAAACTTGAACCCTCATCATGCATCCTCTGAAAGCAGACGGAATTATACCCAGAAAACGGAGGTGCAGCCTCGGATGTGGAAGTCTCCTACGGAGGAGTTTCCCCACTGACTGAAGTTTCCTCATCCATGGTGCGATCGTTGTATCATTGATGCCCGTTATGCCGACCGCGAGACCGATCTTGAAGCGAGCTGGACCGCACCGAAACTTGCCCAGGATTATCATCTCCTCAAAGTGGAAAGTACAGATTGTGGAAGAAAAAACAGAGATTTACTGACTTACACATTTATCTCTTATCTCAGGGTAGAATGCTTCTCTTCAACTTCGGGAGACAGGTATAGCATGAATATTTTCGAGATATGTCCGCTGATCCCTCCCACAATGATCGTTTGTCCTTTGTTATCGCATATGAATTTGTCGCTTCGATCAAGGCAACAAAGGCCTGATTTCCGTCCCGAGGCTCACGATCTCCTGCTTGAGCTTCCTCGCACGTTCCCGCATGAGTCCGTTTTGTACCCAAGGTAGCAGGCTCGGTGACGATTCCGGCACACATTTCAAGAAGTCCGTCAGGGATAAGACATTGCTCAACGCCGTAAGCAGATGTTGGGCGAGCGGCTGAGAAGTCTTCGTATACTTCTGCGCGAGTCTGACGATGATTCCCGAGACAGGCTCGAAATCTTCCGGATCCAAATGCTTAGGCATGAGAACCCCGTGCCGAATCTCTTTCGGTCAATTTCGGCAATTCCGTGGAAGTTCCGTGGGCTGAAAACGTCTTCAGAAAGGAGACAGGCCAGGGGTATTCTTACGATATACACTGTTGACCGGGGTGTGTAGAGGAGAGACGCGATGATTTCTGCTGAGAGCTCGAGCCACTGCAGGCGAGCTCTTCCTCCACGAACGATCGACGGTCGGTCCGGCAGTCAACCTCTCAAAAGGTCTCGGAGGGCTCGCGTCGCGATAATGCCTCGGTATAACTCCGAAGTCTCGCCTCTTACTCATACACAGTTGATTGATTGATTGATTGTTTATTGACCTTCCCTAGCTATGTTCAAATCTCGAACATAAAGAGAGACCCTAATATATAGGGGCGATGGCTCAGCTGGTCGTTGGTGGATGCGGTTTCGCGTATTTGTCCGTCGGGATTGTCGATATTCCTCTACACCCACTCTTCCAACATTACTTTTGTGTCGAAAATCATCTTCGGGGTGCTTTCTTCGTGTAGGCCCAGTCTTTTCCGTATTATACACTCAGCATCCGGGGGGTCTTCGCATTCGAGGATCACATGTTCCTGGGTTTCCTCTTCTCTCTCGCACCTCAGGCAGGTCGCTCCGATGTTTTTGAAACGAGACCTAAATTTTCTAGTCTGTAAACATCCCGCTCTAGCATTCGCGAGGAGGCGACTGCCTCTCGTATTGTCATAGATGTGCTCGATATTTCCTCGCACCGTTTTATAAGTACTGTACCGCTCAAGGGTTCTCTTCTCGGACATCCCTTCGACCCAATCTTGGTCAAGTTTGTTTTTGATGGTTTCGTTAACGTATTTTTTGTACACACCGAGACTCACCCTTAGAGTTGACCTTGGTATTTCCCGGATGCTCTGAGATCCGAATTTCTTCTTCAACTCTAGACTTCTCTTTTGAAGTTTGGTGGGTATACTCGCATTCTTCATCATTGTCTGGATTGCCCTTGGCCACCTCGTCTCGCTCATCTCATTGATTCTAGCCTGATATATTAGCTACTTTTTGCTTCTCTGGCTACGGTTCCGAAGCTTTGCCTCCTCGCTTCGTCAATCAGAGTGATCGCCGAGCTCAACAGCTTGGAGCACCTAGTATCTAGGATATCGGTCGTTGCTGTGAAGCTGATCCATCACCGATGTGGAGTCTGGCCACAGTCGTGGCTCCTGCTATCGGTTCTGACCCGGGAATCCCTGCACAATTCCCGTCGGCGTAGGCTCCGGCGCGGGAAGTGCCAGCGTGTTGGACGTTCCGGATCAGGTGAATGTCCGCCAGAGCGCGGAGTCTTGGGTGTGGAACGTCGAAGAAATTCCGCTCTAGCCTCCTTAAGCTAGTGAAGCGAACAGCTAGCTTGGAAGAGGAGGCTTTTGAGCATTGCTAGTTGTTGAGCTCGGGAAATTTCGCAACATCCGATAATCGAAATCCGACTCGAGCTCAGATTGAAAATCGGAATCACCTTCGGAAAGCTCCCCGAGTCGAACCATCTCCTTGTCTAACTGTGAATCACAATCTCGGATTCGGTTCGATTTTCGAATCCCCATTGGAAGTTGAATCATGATGCCCTCTAGTTCATCTTATCGCAAATTCGTAGCTCACTCCTCCTCCCAATGCTAGAGTTTCTGCAAGGTCCCATGCGAAAAAACCATGCTGAATCGTTCCGCCCAGAATCCTGCTGGTCTTGAGTACTGCCATCAGAAATTGCCTGAATCTTCGGTTCGAAGATGGAATATCTCAGATTACTCCACTATATGCCCGCTACGTGGAGGAGTGCTCGATCGCAGGATTAATGAATGCCAATGAGTCGGTGCCAACATGGGTGTCTGATAGGAGCGCCAGCCTAATTGACCAAGTTTTCTACCGTTTCAGATGTGGATACGATTTCGAGGCAATGTCACCGATTCGGGGGAGTGAGCGACCACTGCATGGTTGGCCTCATAGTAGAGTGAGTAGAATCCTGTGGGAGCCATCAGCAGCAAGTCCCATCGACTGATTTCTCGGGCAATGTCGCAAGTTAGCTGATGAGCTCGTACAATAAGCAGCGAACAAATCGTGAGGGAGAGAGTCGACATTCCGCGCTGAGGGATCGCGACCCCAGTAGACAGAGGATATTCCAAACGCCAGATTGCATCCCGCGTCAAACAATATTCCATGGAGTCTTCTCCTATTTTCCGGAGCTGGTGTGATCCGAACGAGCATCGGGCGCGCGTCTGTCGTAATCAGAGCTCGCGTGGGAGGGGGATTCTGGAGACAGTGCTCGAACAAGATCTTCTCCGTGGGCCGGAAATCGTTCTCATCTCGACGTCCCAAAGGGTGGGTCAATCCAGCGGTGGTTATAGGGGGGTCAGTTCTCCGATGCGGTGAGTCCTTCTACCTTAAAAAAATTATTTGAGTGCTCCAGTGACGAAAATACGAAAACTCGGAAAAAAATTGAAAAATCGGAAATTCGCAAAATTCACAAACGCCTGAACCGATCGCCGCGAAAATTCAGGGGTGGGTTCTCGGGGGCTTCAGGGAGGTCATGTGAGGGTCGTCGTTCTCATGTGATGGGTTCTCCCACCATTTGAGTGGTCCTCTAACCGAGAATCAAAGATTTCATAAAGGGGAAGGCGGGGATTTGCAGGATTTTTTAACGGCTGGACCATCATAGAGGGGGCTCCTAAGAAGGCTATCGGGGGTTGCCGTCATCATTGGCCTCTGTCTTTCTACTGATGAATCTCGCCGAAAATTTCTGTAGCCGTGATTTTCCGAAGAACATAATATGGAATAAAAGCGGGGAACCGGGAAAGCGGGGAACCAGGAAAGCGGGGAACCGGGAAAGCGGGGAACAGGGAAAGTGGGGAACCGGGAAAGTGGGGAAACGGGAAGTGGGAAAACGGGAAAGTGGGAAAACGGG